CAGACAAGCTGCCGCCTCGTACTGACACAGACCTGCCGATCGAGCTAGTGCCCGGCACGAAGCCACCACAAGGCCCGCTCTATCTCAAGGGGCCCAAGGAGATGGAGGAGCTCCGCAAGTATCTTGACGAGAACCTCGCGAAGGGCTTCATTCGGCCCTCGAAGAGTCCAGCACGCTCTCCTGTGCTCTTCGTACCGAAGAAGGATGGAGGTCTGCGCTTATGTGTGGACTACAGAGGCCTCAACGAGGTCACCGTCAAGAACCGAGCTCCCCTCCCCCTCATCGAGGAGCAACTCTTCCTCCTCCGCAACGCCAAGATCTACACGAAGCTGGATCTCAAGGCGGCGTACAACCTGGTACGCATCGCTGACGGCGACGAATGGAAGACGGCGTTCGGCACTCAGCTCGGCCTCTATGAGTACCTCGTGATGCCGTTCGGGCTTGCCAATGCCCCCTCTCACTTCCAGTCACTCGTCAACAGCATCTACAGGGACATCATTGGCATCTACGTTGTGGTGTACTTGGACGACTTCCTCATCTTCAGTAACACAGAGGAGGAGCACGTCGCCCACGTACGAGAGGTACTCAAGAGGCTCCGCGAACATCGCTTGTTCGCCAAGCTCTCGAAGTGCTCGTTCCACACAGACACCGTGGAGTTCCTGGGCTACATCATCACGCCGCGAGGCATCGAGATGGACCAGGAGAAGGTCCGAACCATCAAGGAGTGGCCGCTGCCGCAGTCGATACACGACATACAGCGCTTCCTGGGGTTCGCTAACTTCTACAGGAGGTTCATCTCCCACTTCGCTCGGATCACTAGGCCTCTGACCGAGCTCGTCAAGCCGACGGAACGCTTCAAGAAGTTCCAACTCCCGGACGCTGCTGTCCAGGCTTTCCATCAGCTCATCGAGGCCTTCACCACGGCGGGTGTGTTGAGGCACTTCGACTATCACAAGCCGACTTGCCTCGAGACGGATGCCAGCGACTTTGCCTTGGCAGGGGTCCTCAAACAGGAGACCGAGAAGCGATGGCACCCCGTGGCGTTCTACTCGCGCAAGATGACCTCGGCGGAGAAGAACTACGAGATCCATGATAAGGAGCTTCTCGCCATCGTTGCCTGTCTATATCAGTGGCGCCACATGCTCGCCGGGCTGCCAAATCAGTTCGCTGTGCTCTCGGACCACGAGGCGCTCAAGTACTTCAAGGCACAGCGCCGCATCAGCGGCCGTCAAGCTCGATGGTCAGTACTACTGGCTGACTTCGACTTCGTGGTTCAGTACCGGCCAGGGGACAAGGCCGGCGAGCCGGACGCACTCACTCGGCGCTCAGACATGGAGCCCTCGGAGGCGGAGCAGAAGCACAACGTCCGTCAGCTACTCCATCCCAGGATGTTCGAGGTCGACGCCGCCACTTCGGCAGAAGGCAGTACAAATCCGACCGAAGTCGGCGAGCTCGGCACAGTTCGCAGTACCCCTGCCGAGTTTGCCGCCAGGAGCCCATCGCTCATCTCGATGGCCGCTATCGTCGAAGGTGGCCTTACGGCGCTGGTGCGAACCTTCCAGCCCCTCGATATCGAGCTACTTGAGCTCCACAAGAGCACACCGTTCGAGCTCAAGGATGGTCTCTGGTACCGAGAGGGCCGTTTGGTAATCCCAAAGGTAACCCTCAAGGGCAAACAAGGGCGTGGCGACACACGCTCGGCCAAGCTCATCAGTGAGCACTCGCTGTCAGTCAAACACCTTCGATACATGGTCATGACCCAATGCCATGATGGTGTTACGGCTGGGCACGTGGGACGAGATGCCACCCTCGAGCTGGCCCAACGCTCCTGGGTTAGGGTTAGGGTTAGGGTTAGGGTTAGGGTTAGGGTTAGGGTTAGGGTTAGGGTTAGGGTTAGGGTTAGGGTTAGGGTTAGGGTTA